TTTTAACCCCCTTAAAAAAAAAAAAAAAAAAAAAAAATTCTTCAGGATAGTCTCTTTTACCCAAACAAAATTCATCATTGTATGAGCCCTAATGTATACCCTTTGTTTTTTCACTTCACTTTGTTCGAAAAAAGCTATACTTATAAATTTTAGCTATATACTTATAATTTACACTGTGTCACGGTATTGAGAGATTATTGTTAAAATTATTAAACTATTCAGGATTGGTCAGATGTACGTATATTTTTTGTACCACTTTAAACAAGTAAGTATAGTTATAGTATACACTCACACAGAAACCTACCGTTTGAGTTGTTTTTATTCATCTCGAGAAAAGCTGTGAAACCGATACTTCGGGAACAACGTATGTAAAGTAATTACTAAAATTATACTCTATGTTTTTGAAAATCTGTCAAGATGTTTACTTCTGGGCGTCGTGGATAATACTGACTAGAGACTCGTTTTAAGTACTCGCTCATTTGATTCTTTTCATAAATATTTATTTAATAGCCCGTTGTAATAAAAAAAAAAAAAAAAATTTCCAAACATTATAGGAAAAAAAAATAAAGCTTGAAGCACAATAATTATCTGTGAGATAAGAAAAAGTGGCTATACGAGATATGAATACAATAATGGTAGTAGCAATATATACATATATACCTACTACTTACTGTTAACATGATTAAATGCTAGAGATTTTTCACTATGAAAAATGTGTGAAACTAATACATATAGATTTTATCGTATCGAAATTGCGTAGCTCTTGAGGGAGAGATAGTTTTTTCTATACTGATTAATTACGTTAAACAAATGACAAATAAATTTTTAATATTTTACTTTGAATGTACAATTATTAATTTGTTTAAAATTATTCAAGGGATTTCCAACTATTTTATTTTGTGATGAAAACCCTTTCAAGAGTTAATCACTTTCACATTTGTCTGCCTGTCGATCTAGACAAAAGAAAGTCATCATGTACACACATTGTACACGCGTATCCAGGTAATCATTTGGAACTTAATTTACGAACTAACAATTACTAGAGATTTAAAAAAAAAAAAATTGTACACATACATAATATATGTCTCAGTTTGTGCCACGTACGTATACTTTATCGAAGGTCAGTAGACTAATTAGTTGATGTTATCTATATCGTTTACGTGGCGTACTTGACCGTTGGTTTTGACACTGGCTCTCGGTTTATCATAGCACAATACAAAAGTCCTTCAAAAAAAAAAAGTACGTTTGAAATTTTAATTATAAGACCAGGTAGGGTTGACTTTTAAAAATTTTCTTATGCTTCAATAACATACTTGTAAGTTTAAAAATTAAGTCTTGAAAAGGTTCTTTACCCAATTTCCAAATTATTATCTGCATTGATAGTTATTACATTTTTAGTGCTCCATACATTTCGCTCGTAAAAAAAAAAAATAATACATCCCGATGAAAAATAAAAGATTTTTTGAATTAGCTGGCGTTTTATTCCAAATTTAAGTATAATTAAGTATAACCAACCTATCGATGTAATTTGTGTGAAATCAATCAATTTGTATGAAAATAAAGTCATACATATTTCTTTAGCGAATAATGGTGAAATAAAAATCATCAAAAATCAACGAATATGTGATAAAATCTAACAACAAATGTTTGATAAATCCTTATTTAAAAATTAGTGGCAGAAAAATTTTTTGTATCAGAGATTAGCTAAATTCCTTTCTAAATTACTTCTTAATGATTTAACTAGATGTTCATGTCAATATATCCATAATTTTGATCACTTGGTTTTAAATACACTACGCCCCAAATATGTATTAAATGTTCTTTTTTTACCATTTTTCGATTAAAATTTAATCGTGATATGTATCGTTGCAAAAGAAACCCAAGATATGTCTTCAGATATCACACGATGAATAAATCCATATTGCCTGAGGAATAAAGTTACTTGTTCGTTGAATATAAGTTTTTGTGTAAGCTTGTCCTGTTTAACTATATAATTATGAAAAAATTACTGATTCAATCATTGAAAAATACATTTTCCACACTGCAAATCCAGTAAAGTCAACTCTCTGAATTCGAATTACGTTGACAAGCCAGTAAAAATTAATATTTAGTTTTAATTATTTTTCTCAGACGTCTGGAAATCGGAGCTTGCGACACTATTCATTGAAACGAATGAGTAGAAAATTAGAAATTAATGTGTACCAATTTGTACTTTTTTTTTTCATCAATGATGAGTGGTGGGTGGTGCAAATGTACACTGTAATTATGGAACCTTTAGATAATAGTTTACTTATGTGTTTCACGTTTCCTACGTTTATTTTATTTTCTTCACTGTTCTATATTGCATGGTATCTACAAATTTAATGACCAAGTACCTGGGAAAGTTGAAAAAAAATTTGTTGACGTCATGTGTAATTAATATCATCGTACTTGACCCTCTAGTGAAAACAAACTAGTTTTTATCAGTCGAAGAAATAGATATGGAATAAAAATAGCACATTCATAATAGCAGTCAAAAATTACTTGTGATGTGACTCCTATACCTCCTTAAGATAAAAATGCCAAAACGAGACGTGATTTTTTTTTTTCAATTTAAACGTATATTCTTGTGATTAGAAAAATCATCATGTGTAATTAATGTTTTACTTTTGGGACGAATTAATCAGTGTACTTATCTGTTTTGTAGTCTTTTTTTAACGATTACGAAGCTATTTCTATGTATAAGAAAACAAAGCTTTTTATATCATTTGTACTGTAAATCCAAGTTTGAAAAACTTATTAATTTTAAAGAAATAGAACG